GGAGGCGGAGGAGGAGGAGGAGAAGGAGCAGGAGGAGGGGGAGGAGGAGGAGGAGGAGGAGAAGGGCGGCTGGGGGGTGGGAGGGGGAGGAGAATGATGAGGAGGGGGTGTGGGGGAGGGCAAGGAGAGGTGGTGGAGGAGGAGGAGGAGGAGGAGGAGGAGAGGAGGAGGAGGAGGAGAAGGAGGCGGAGGAGGAGGAGGAGGAGGAGGAGGAGGAGGAGGAGGGAGGACGCTGGAGACCTTCGCCGGCCCACCGCGTGAGCAGGACGTCGCGACGTCGGGGTTCTGGGGCCCCCTTCGGACAGGGCCTTCTGGGAGGCCTCCTCGTCGCCACCGCTGGATGCGCCTCAAAGTTTTGGTCTTAAGTCTTTTGTGTCCCTCTAAAGGGGGAGTGGTCAAAAATAGAAAAATAGCTCTGGGGCTTTTGTTTTTTTGCTTCTTCTTTCTTCTCATAAAAAACCGTTTTGGACCATTTTGGGGTATTTTTATATATTTTTTTAAGTTTTCGTGCAAAATCCGCCTGTAGGGGGACATGCCCGATCTAATTCTGATCAGAACGCCCCCTGGGAGAGGTCTCCAGGGAGCAGCGGCATCGGTACCTTTTGGTATCCCCACCCCCCAGGTGCGGGTGGTCGGTTTCTGCGGCGGGGCCGGGACGAGGATAGCTCCGCTCCAGAGCGCTCCAGGACGCTCTCAGAGCGTTCCGGAGCGCTCTGAGAAGGCCGCGGCGCCCGAGACATCCGCCAGAACCGCCAGATCCCAGAGATTCTCGATGCATCCTCCCCGGATTCTGTCCTTGTCCTGTCTTCGTCTTCGTCTGGAGCCCTCTCTCGCTCTGCCTGCGGGCTGCCCGCGCTGCCTGGTCCACTTGGCGGCTGCCCGCTCTGCCGCGCGCGGCGCCCGAGCCTCGCAGGAGGGGAGAACACGCGCACGGAGGTGCGCGCGGAGCTCCGAGAGTTTGCGCGTCGTCCATGTCGAGGGGGCTGGAGTTGAATCGGGCATGTCCCTCTGCAGGAGGAGTATTCAGAAATAGCGGAAAAATCGGATGGGGACGACGTTTTTTTTTTTGTTGGTGTGTTTCGGAGTTTTCGTCCAAAATCCGCCTGTAGGGGACATGCCCGACCTAAGGCTGGAGGATCGCGCCGGCTCGCCGACGCATCGGCGATGCGGCTCGATGCGGATCCGGATCTTCTTCACGCCAGCGTCGCCGACGCACCTCCCACGTCGCCGATGCATCGTCGATGCATCACAGGTGCATCGCCAGTGCATCGGCGATGCATGGGCGAATCTGTGCCGATGACGATGGCGATAACGATGACGATGACGAGAGTCCAGCAAGTTTTTTTGCCTTTGGTGCGTACAGTTTGTGCCACAGCATTGAGAACGCATCGTCATCGTCGTCGGCGTCGTCGTCGTCGTCGTCGTCGTCGTCGTCGTTGTCGTCGTCGTCGTCGTCGTCGTGATCGTCGTCGTCATCGTCATCGTCATCGTCCTCCGACCCCATCTATTCGGGCCCCATCTAGGAGGCCTCTGGTGCGTTTACGCGGTTTTTCTTTCCTGTGCTCCTGTCCGACGGTTCGCTTGAGAGGCGAATTGTTTTCAACAGCGACCGCACTCCCAGAAACCGGGCTTGCCGATGGCGCCGGGGGCGCCCCAGGCAACAGTGGGAAACCTCTGTTCACGATGGAGTATAACTGCGCACATGCCTGTATGAGCACGCTGAACTTTAAAAGACTTTTTACTTCGCCTACGCGTCTGCCAGGGATGCAGTCAGTCAGCTCCCGCCTCGACCAGAAGACAAACGACACCACCCCACCCACGGCCCCCCACGTTGCGCTGCGGCCCATCGGGGGCCGTAGCGTATACCACGTCGTCGTCGTCGTCGTCGTCGTCGTCGTCGTCGTCGCTCGTCGCTCGTCGTCGTCGTCGTCGTCGTCGTCGTCGTCGTCGTCGTCGTCGTGGTGGTGGTGGTGGTCGTCGTCGTCGTCGTCGGGCCCGCCGTCTCCTCTCCGTGCGGGCGGCGCGAGAGGCCCGCGCCTTGGCGGCGGCGACGGTGCGGCGGGCCGCCCGCCGCGCGCGCGCCAGGGGGCTCCCCGGGCGGCCGGGCGCGCACGCGCAGGGCGCACCGCCTCCGTGGGGCTCGCGGCGCGCCGCGGCGTCGCTCGACGTCACGGCCAGAGCTCCTCCCCCTCCTCCCCCTCCTCCTCCTCCCTCCTCCTCCTCCACCCTCCCTCCCTCCCTCCCTCCCTCCTTCTCCTCCTCCTCCTCCTCCTCCTCCTCCTCCCTCCTCCTGATCCTCCTTTCCTTTCCTTTAAAAGAACAACTTCTCCCTGTCGCACCCCGAAGCCAGTTTTTGGGGCGGGCCGGGCGTTTCGCCTGAGACTTCCGCACCATGTACGACCCTGAAGCTCAACAAAATGGCAACAGCTTCACAGATGGAGGGCGACTGGTTTTCGAAGCGTGGCTCTCGCATTAGCGGCGCGCACATTAGTCCTAAGCGTTTGCAAGAGTCTCCCGCGCACATTCGCTTTAAATACTCGCAAGAGTTTCACTGATTGAGGGCGACTGGTTTTCAAAATGTGGCTTTCGCTTCAGTTTTGCGCACATTCGTTTTAAGCAGTCGCCAGAGTTTCACGGATTGAGGGCGGGTCCTTTTCAACATGTGGCTCTCGCTTCAGCGCCGCGCACATTCGTTGGTAAAATTTAAAAGAGTCTCGCGGATTCTCATGATCAGCGCACAAGAAGTGGTGTTGTGGACGGATTCAGGGTTTTGAGGATGCAACAGTTACGTTGGTTCGCGGTGCTAAAGTCCCAGGCATGGCGTTCTGGCACGATTCAGGATCGTCAAGACGTAATAGTCAGGTTGATCCGTGGCGTTCGAATCCCGATGACGATATTTTGGCATGCTTCGGGGTGTTCAAACGGTTGTCTTCAAACGGGGCAGTTCCTTCAGTGGAAATGAATCCTTGTAGGCGCCTATGAAGAGGGAGCTTGGAGGGAGGATTTATTCCAACATCGTTGATGACTCTGGGGTTTACACTGGTCCTCCTCCTCCTCCTCCTCCTCCTCCCTCCTCCCTCCTCCTCATCCCTCCCTCCCTCCCTCCCTCCCTTCCTCCCTCCCTCCCTTCTCCTCCTCCTCCTCCTCCTCCTCCTCCCTCCTCCTCTTCCTCCTCCTGCTCCTCCTCCTCCTCCTCCTCCCTCCCTCCCTCCCTCCCTCCTCCTCCTCCACCTCCTCCTCCCTCCTCTCCTCCTCCTCCTCCTCCTCCTCCTCCTCCTCCTCCTCCTCCTCCCTCCCAGACGTGCTCGCGTCGTGGCGAAAATTCGGGCGATCGCTTTTTCATCGCTTTCGGCCTCCAGGGGCCCTCGCCGGGCCCCGGGACCATTAACAAAATGGCCCAGGATGGAAAAAGCGGGCCCCAGGGAAAGGGTCGGGACTTCGGGTTTTCCAGGGGCCGCGCATTGAAAACATCAGGGCGTCGCATGTCTGCGGTGGAGAGGGGAAGACGACAATCCAGGAAGTATGGAAGCGTAGGGGAGATCCTGGGATTTGTATCTATGTTTTTTCATCCCCCAGCGATACCAGGCGTGACCGGGGGGGGGGGAGGGGGGGGGCTGGTCACGTCACGATTCGCGCCAGCGCCATCTGGGAATCCAAGCCCCAGATGGCGCCGGGGCGAAGCGTCACGCGACCAGGGGGAGCGGGCGGGAGTGGGCGGGGCCGGCCACGGGCGCGCTCGCGAGTCCTTCCAAGCGAAGATCCTTCCCGCCACCTCTCTCGAGCCAGGTCGCCGGGGCATGGCCTCCTGGGGCCCGCAGCTGGGCGAGCACGCCCGGTGCGCAGAGCCTGCAGCGCCTGGGCCTCGGGGGGTGCCTCGGAGGGCTTCTGGGGGCCTCGCCGTCGGCCTGCGGAGGGCCGCCGACGGCCTTCGCGAGGGGCCTCCTCGGGGTTAGCCTCGCCGGAGGGCCGCCGGCGGGCAGCCCGCAGGCCTTCGGGGAGCTCTCGGAGGCCCGCCGCGGTGGCGTCGGGGGGCCCTTCGGAGAGGGCCTCTCGGGAGGCCTCACGGCGCCGCCCGGGGACGGCCCCCGCCCGGCGCCGCCCGGGGATGGCGCCCTCGCGCGCGCGGCGCCGCGCGGCGCGCGCGGGGCAGGACGTGCTGTCCAGCGACCCGTTCGGCACCGGTGACCAGGTGCACGCCCCTTCCCTCCCCCTCTGCCCTTTCCTCCCCTGCCTGCCCTTCCTGCCCTCCTCCCTGCTCTCCTGCCTGCCCTCCTTGCCCTCCTCCCTGCCCCCCCTGCCCTCCCTCTACCGCCAGAGTATGTCCACATCCACCGCTTCGGAGTCGTGCCCTGAGATCCCGAGGTGCGGTGGGTATGGAGATCTACCCGCCCGCGTGGGCGGGCGGATATCCATGTCCGCCGCTCCGCGAGCCCTCGGGACACGACCCAGCGGCAGTGGATATTGCCATGGTCTGGCGGCGCACTCCCCCTCTTCCTTTCCTCCCCTGTCTGCCCTCGCTGCCCTCCTCCCTGCTCTCCCCTGCCCTCCCCCGGCTCCCTCCGCGCACCTCGCGCCTCGCGCGCGCCGCGCGCCTCTCTCTGGGCCGCGCGGCGCCGCCGCGCGCGCGCGCGCGCTCGCGCCGTCGTAGCTGCCCCTTCCCTCTCTTCCCTCCTCGTGGGCCAGAGGTCGCCGTCGTCGTCGTCGTCGTCGTCGTCGTCGTCGTCGTCGTCGTCGTCGTCGTCGCCGCCGTCCTCGTCGTCGTCGTCGTCGTCGTCGTCGTCGTCGTCGTGCTCGCCGTCGTCGTGGTCTGAGATGGCCCGCGATGTGGAGATCCAGCGGATGGCCCTCGCCACGATGCAGAAGGTGGCCGCCGTGGAGGCGACAGCACCCGATGCGGCGAAGCCAGAGCCAACGGATACGAAAGCTTGCCCAGCGCCCAGCGTGTTGGACCACAGCGACTCCAAGCGAAATAGTTGTAAAACAAGTAATACTAGCGATCATAATCATAGTCGTACGATTGACTAATAAGAGTAGTCATCGTACTAGTAGTCATACTACTCGTCTAGTTGCACGAAGAGTACGGCGAGTACTAATAATCATACTACTGAGAAGGCGAACACACTTACTACCAGTAACAATGATGATACTAATATGAAAAATAATGCGAATAATGTGCATCATCATATCAACCATACGAATTCTGATGTGAATACTATGAGTAGCACGAGTCGCAATAATACTAGGACTAACAATATAATTGTTAATCTAACTTTTTTAGCAGAAGTCATACAGATAACAGTAATAATAGAAAGGCTAATTCTTGACGCTTCGCGTATCCCCACCAGCCCATCCATAATTGATTGCCAGTTTTCTTGAGGCCTCTTGGAGGCTATCTTGAGCGATGCTTTGCTAGAGGCTCTCGGAGGCTATCTTGAGCCATGCTCGGCTATCTTGGGCCATCTTGAGGCTGCCTTGAGGCCTCTTGGAGGGCTGTCGGAGGCTATCTTGAGCCATGCTCGGTTATCTTAGGCCATTTTGACGGCCATCTTGGGCTATCTGGGGCTCTCTTGGAGCCATCTTGGGCCAAAAAGGGCGGGGTGGAGGGTCTTCGGGAGAGGCTGGGAGGCCTCTTGGGGCCATCTTGGGCCCCATGGCCCATGGCTCAAAAAGAGGTCCCTCAATTAGCATTGCCCCCTCGGAGGCTCAGAAATGGCGTCTTGGGGCTCTCTTGGGGCGCTCTTGGGCGCCTCTTGGGCGATCTTGGGGCCGTCTTGAGCTTTCTTGGGCCCCTCTTGGGGCTCTCTTGGAGTCCTGTTGGGGCTCTTTGGGGGGTCTGGGAGGCCTCTTGGGGCCGTCTTGGGCACCATGGCTTAAAAAGAGGGGGGGAGGAATTCGGCCCCCCCCCCCTTCGGAGGCTCTCAAACGGCATCTTGGGGCCCTCTTGGAGCGCTCTTGGGCGCCTCTTGGGCGATCTTGGGGCCGTCTTCGGCCCTCTTGGGCCCTCTTGGGCCTCTTTTGGGCCATCTTGGGGCCATCTTGAGGCTTCCAAAGCCCATCGGAAGCGAAAAGGCGATAATGCCAAACACATTGATTTTCCCTAGACTTTTGAACGGTTTTGGCATCTTTGAGGGCGCCGTGGAGGGCTCGAAGGGCACTTGGATCCGTCTTGGGGCTGTCTTGGGGCCTCTTGGGGGTATGTCGGAGGCTATCTTGACCCATCTTGAAGTTGCATGGGACATCTTGGAGGCCATCTAGCGACTTCGAAGCCCTCTTGGAGCAATCTTGGTCCATCTTGGACGCTCTAACGCCTCGGTACCCCCCCCCTTCCTGGCCCAGGGGAGGGGGTAGGGGGAGGGGTTTCAGTGGAAGAGATAAGAAAAAACGCGTTATACCACCTAAGCCCAGAGGACTGGTGGGATTCTACGACACATGTCAATACTAATCATACTAACAAGCGCCGTGAGGATGACCGAGAATGCGGTGACATCCCCACAGAGGTTTTGGCTGAGTTTGCCAGGCATCGGTGCTCGGCACGTTTCCCTAGAGCGGAGCCGCCCACGGGCTCGGAGCCCAGTATCGGCGACGCGCTCTTCATGCTCAAGGCGGTGATCGACTCCGATTCGGCCTGCGGCAAGGCCCCCCCCACACACACACTGAAGGAGCACGCCATCTCGACCAGTTGAAGACTGGTGAGGGGCGCGTTGCTTCGCAAAGTTTGCCCCTTGGGGCCCTGCGAATCGTACCATTCTCCGCCCTGCTCGGCGTAGCTCTGGGAGTCGTGGATGAGGCTGGCTGGTCCACCGCCGTGCGCCGCGCTCGCCTCTCGCCGCCGAGGTCGTGCTCGGTCGGATGCTCGGGGCGCTGGCTGCTGGTGGGGACCCCTTTCGCCAGTGCTTTGGATAAATACGTTGCATCTTCGCCCATTGGGGCGTCTCTGCTGGGCCCCTCGGGGTTCGATGCTCTCTTTTCTTCGGCTGTGCCCACTAGGGCTCGGCCTCGGCTGCCCGTGCATCGGCCGGGGCAGCTGCGCGCGAGGGCCCATAGACATGGGCCGCATCATCAGGACCTCAGGACCCTCCTCCTCCTCCCCCTCCTCCTCCTCCTCCTCCTCCTCCTCTGCCTCCTACTCCTCCTCCTCCTTCTCCTCCTCCTCCTCCCCCTCCTCGTCCTCCTCCCCCTCCTCCTCGCGAGCTGAAGGTGGCGTAGGCCGAGAAGGGAGCAGAGCCGAGTCGAGCACGTCTCCTCCGCCCCCACTGCCCCTGCTGCTCCTCCCGGCATGTCCCCGAGAAGCCTGCTTCGTTCCCAGGGAGTTATCTGGCGACGGATGCCGGTCAGGCGTGCCGCCGCAGAAGCTCGCGCGGCTCCCGGGCAGCCCTGCCGCTTCTGCTCCTCCGCGCACGCTCCGCAGGGGCTGCCCCAAACGAAGAAAAGCGCGTGCGCGCGCAGGCGCCCGCTCGCGCTCTGCGCGAGCGGGTGCCCTCCCAGGTTCTTCGCCGGCGCCCGGGTAAACATAAGCAGCACCCCAACGGGCGCAAAGCGACGGAGCGCAAGACGCGCTCAAGCGGCGCGAGGCGTGCTTCGCACCCGCCGCGGGAAAGGCCGCGAGGGCCACGAGCGCGCCTGGTGGCGCGGCGGGCGCGACCGCGTCGCGCCCCGGTGGCGCGATCCAGGGCTGGCCGCTTTCCCGGCGCTGGCCGTTCTGGTTTTCCCCCGCTGTCGCCTGGTTCTGGGGAGGAAAAGCCACCCAGACCCCGACGACTGGCGTTTACGAAACGGCCCTGGGCGTTTACTAGGCAGCTCTGCCCTGTTCGATTCGTGACTGTCTTCTTATTCACTGTTTTGCCCATCGGCGTGGGCCGCCGCACGCTCCCCTTCCCCCCATGGAGTAGATCTTTGCTGCTTTTGACGCCTGTTTCGAGCAGGTGGGGTCTCCCACATGCTGGACGCACTGTTGCAAACAGTCGCACTGGGCAGAGGTCCTGAGCTAGACCCCCCCATCCCCCTCCCCTCCCGCCCAACGTCGAAACGCCGAATCAGAAAGCGCTCACCTTCTTCCCTCGGTGCGCTTACCGAACGGCTTCGCTGGTCGGGGTGCCTACTTGTGGGGGGGATCTTTCTGCCCTCGCCTGGTGGCCGCGCACGCCCGAGGCACTGGTCACTGGCGCTGTTTTTACTGTTGTTGTTGTTTTTGTGCCGGCGGCCAAGGCCCGACAGGGCGTCCCACTGCCGTCGGCGCCGTCGGGAGCGATCTCGGTACCCAACGGGCCAGGGAGGGACGAAGGAGGGAGGCCTCCTCCTCCTCCTCCTCCTCCTCCTCCTCCTCCTCCCTCCTCCCTCCTCCCTCCTCCCTCCTCCTCCCTCCTCCCTGTTCCCTCCCCCCTCCTCCCTCCTTCCTCTTCCCTCACCCCTTCAGAATACCAGGATCCCTCCCTCTCTCTTCTTCCCCTCCTTCCCCTCCTTTTTCCCTTCTCCTCGAGCCCGTTTCTTTATTGCTTGGGGCATGACGGGCGTCATGACCCCCCCCGCCGCCCCCCCCCCCCCCCTCTGTGATTTAACGCTCCCCCCTCCAGTGCGCTCCGGGCACTGCCCCCCAGTGCGCTCCGAGCACTGCCGCTGTGCGCACTGGGATTCGCGTAGGTGTCCGCGTAGGAATCCGCATAGGAGTCTGTTCCGCAGTCGTCGTCGTCGTCGTCGTCGTCGTCGTCGTCGTCGTCGTCGTCGTCGTCGTCGTCGTCGTCGTCGTCGTCGTCGTCGTCGCTCGTGGCTTTAGCTCGTCGCTCATAGCCGTCGTGCGCGCGGACGCGGCTGAAGCATGTTTTTTATTCTGGGCCGATGCCGGCAATCATCTGGGGGGGATGGAGGGGGTCCATGACGTCACGTTTCGCGCCAGCGGCGTTTGGGAATGCTTAGGAATGACGGAGGACGGGTGGCGCCAGCATGTAGGTGGCGATTTGCACCACACCGCTTGTGTACACCACAGTGCCTGCGTGCACCATAACGCTTGTGTGCACCGCCGTCTATGTACACCACAGCAGCCGCGTGCAACACAGCGTCAGTTTGTGCCACCGTGCCTGCTGGCACAACAGCTCTTGTGCACACCACAGCGCTTGCGTTCACCACATCAGCCGTGTACAAGACAGCACCAGTATACACCACAATGCCTGCGTGCATTGCAATGCCTGTGTCCACCACCGCACCAACCGTGTGCAACACAGCATCATTGTTGTAAATAGAATGTGAGAACGAATCCTTATGGCAAAATGGAACCGCTTGTGGATTCCACAGACAACAATACAAACTAATCCCTATGGACAACGGAGCGCCGCTGGAATCTACGTGTCCTCCCGAGTCCGCCCGCATCACCCGAACTCTTCCCTTTGCGTTCAAGAGGTTCCAGCTAAATTGGCCGTCCGAGAACCAAATGGACCGATTCAATAGACCATTCTGCGGTGCGCTCTGAGATACGCACGTGCCCTCTAGCGCCAACCTGCACGACAAGGGGTAAGGAGGAGGAGGAGGAGGAGGAGGAGGAGGAGGAGGAGGAGGAGGAGGAGGAGGAGGAGGAGGAGGAGGAGGAGGAGGAGGAGGGAGGAGGAGGAGGAGGTGGGAGGAGGAGGACGAGGAGGAGGAGGGGAGGTGGAGGTGATGGACGAGGCAATTTCCTGGCGTGGCGTTTAGTTGTCCGCAGCAGATCCTCATTTCATGCGTGGCGTTTAGTTGTCCGCAGCAGATCCTCATGTACATGCTCCTTCGACCTGTCCTATGCACGCAGGCATTGTGGTGTACACCAGCGCTGCGTTGCACGCGGATGCTGTAGTGTAGACACTCGTTGTGGCGTGCACAGGCGCTGCGGTGCACGCAAGCATTGTGGTGTACACAGGCGCTGTGTTGCACATGGTAGCTGCGGTGAACAATTGTACGCCGGCGCTGTAGTGTACGCGAGCATTGTGGTGTACACAGGCGCTGCGTTGCACACGGTTGTTGCGGTGTACGCAGGTGC